CCCCTCATAATAATACCATCCATGGACCTGCGCTTCAACATGTGTAGTGGTAGTTTATTGACGTTCAATAAAAGCTTAAAATAATCTCTTGTTATAATACGAGTGTTCGTTTTATAAAAGTCATGAACGTTTGACGACTATAAGACCTGAACCTGCGACCTCGTCCACCGGGATACGCGCCCGACGCTCTAGCCACTGAGCTAAACGACTTACTCGTATCTTCATAATCTAAAGCCATCCATCACTGTCAATCACATCCAGAGGCAGGCCAAGCCGATCGGAGCGTTGACACTATGGAAAGATAAATGAATGCAACAACCTCAGAGAACGATGCTAACGTCGCGTTTGGATTTCTAAAGTCAAACTGGTAGAACGAAAACTCCCAAACAACTTTATTGCTTTTTCGTGGTAAAAACTTTCGAAAGACTACAGGAGAGATATTTGTACACAGCTACAATCTATCACTGTAAACATAATGAATTGTGGGGGACATTACTATTTTGTAGGACAAATGGAATATTAAAATTAACATAGAGCCGCTGCTTGAATTTTGAAACTTGAAATGAAAAATGAAATACAGTCATGCAATTACTGTGTACTTTCTACCGGGCGGGATTTATACAAATAAATGCCTGGAAGAAATTCCTACCTCTAACCTTGTATGTATAATATGTTTCCTGTATTTACCCTCTCTGTATTTTATAATTTACTATTATACTTAACTTTTTTAAATGTTCTATTCCATTTTGTTTTTTTTTTTTATTAATAACTTTCATTTTTGTAACTTTGTGTAATAACTAAGACGTTTCTTTTTTCTACTTGTTATTTTTTTTTTAAACGATGATTTGATTTTATTTTTCAATTTCCTATGTTCATCTCGTTTATTTCTTTGTTTTATAAAAATTATTAACACTTTTCAAAAATAAAACTGCGTCAAAATTGTTAAAAATCTATAATATGCAAAGTTTATGTAAATGGAAGTGTAAATATAAAATTAAAATTATATCGGAAAATTTAGTACTGCATTTCAACAGATTAATTTTACAGTTACATACAGGTCGAGGTAAATTGTGCCTACAGTTTCGCTTCTAAGTTATTCATCTGTGACGAACGCTATCTAGGCGAAATGTAATCGGAATGGGTAAACAAATTAGGTTAGATATTATACGTTTAAAATGAAAGCCATTTTATAATTATATTCTACGATGGTAGGGCTAAGCAGCAGCCTCGACTGTTGCACGACGGGGCAGGCCCGTCCGGGTAAGTACCACGACCTCACAGAAGACCAGCGTAAAGTGGAAGTATGATAAATACTTTCGCGTTTCGTCTGGTGAGTGAGGTAGCCGGAGCCCAATTTTCAAAAGGTTGTACACGCATCTGTAACCCTCGGGTGTGGCAGATGTCTGGTGGGCGGCGGTATTCACTTAACATCAGGTGAACCGTCTGCTCGTTTAACAACTTTTCGCATAAAAAAAAGAGTACCTAAATAACCATTTACTGTGCAATAAAGTGTTGCTTCGTCAAGTTAAGCAAAGGGTTAAGGAAAAAGGATACGCCTTTAATTTGCTGTGTAAGGTACGGTACTAGCAGAAAACTCAATTCGAGGACAGCGTCCGCTATTAACATCACAAAGAGTAGTTTATGAATATCTTTATCTCATTACATTTTGTAACATTGCTCTATACGTATTCCATAGTTATAAGTATTTTTTATTTTCAACTATAAAGTGACTTCGAAGTACTGTCTTAAATTGAAGAATTTTGATTGCGACGAAATTCATTATTTTTATAATAGTTAATTTTTTTTTGAGTTGGGTTAATTGGACACGTTAATGAAAGAACACGAGTGATCCCTGACCTTTATTCAGTAATCAGATACCAGAAGACTGGCCTTTATTCAGTATTCAGTTACCACGATATGAATTCACACATGCATAATCGTTGTAGTTACATAATCGAAATACCTACAAAATATAACTTCTAAGGCAGTGATTCTTTTATTCTAAACAGTACAGTTTAAAATATTACAAACTTTTCGGTAATTCTATTTATTCCAGCCGTTTACTATTCCAGTGGGGAAGGCAGAGTTTGATTCCTAGCTGCATAGAATTGATTTTGATTTTGTGATAATGCCTTTATTATCATATTATATAACGATGATAGAATATTCGAAAATATTCATAAAATTTGTAAGAATAAATCTGTTAATATAGAAACGAACTCAATAAGAAATTAATAAAAAAAATATTTACTACATTAGAAATGGTCAATGGGTCTAGTCCGGAAACTTGATTATTACTTTTCTTGAATTTTCTTTGAGTTCTTACGGCGCCGAAGTATGCAACAAATTCTGGAATATTCATTAATTTGTATTAATTCAGCAAAAAATTGTAAAATATGGTTACTGTATTTAGTAAAAATACCAATTAATGATTGAACTTATTACCTCAAAGTCAAGAAATAAATAATTTCAACAACACTGAGTAATGAGAAGCCCATAAACAATCCCAAAAGACCGCCGCAGTTAGCAAATAAATCGGTCTGACCGTATAGTTCCGAGCGTCTAGAAGTCATGAATTGCGCTTCCTTGAAGAAGATCATCACACGCGTAAACCTTTGACTAAAACAAAATGTAATATTTTGATCCAATGAAAAATGTCGAAATTAAACACAATCATAACGCCTTTTTAATGCTTAATTAAACCGAAAAACTTAATAACTCTTAATCAAAAATCAAAATCAAAAATATATTTATTCACATAGACGCTTGCGCGTTCTTATGAAATGTCAAAAATTAATACGTTCGTAAGTTACCACCATAATATAAGCAACTGGGGTCGAGCTAAGAGCAGCAAACTTTGGGACTCCAGAGCTTATATCTGACCTAAGGACCAATACTGTTCCAAACCGAAAAAGGTGTGTAAACACGTTTTGTAACTCTATTAAGAGTAATGCTCACCCCAGCATTCCTTCAACAGTAATGTTGTAAGCAGCAAACAAAGCTTTCCAGTCAAAATCGGATTGTGATGTTTCAGCTTCATATTCAAGGGAAGTACACGCGGGTAGACATTTACACCTGGACACAACTGCACTTGATTCATCCATTGTGACGTTTTCCTCAAACTCTTTATGTAATCGAGACTGGATATCCACAGTTTCCAACTCCACTAAAAATGTATTTATTCATTTATCATTAAAATAAAATGACTTACTTGAAGAAAATTATAACAATAGTAAAGCAATGTTGTGGATATAAATATTTTACATATTATATATATATTAGAGATATTTGCCATAAGCTTTGAACTAAAAAAAAGACATAAAAATTAATTTAAATGTTTTGAAACTAGTTCTTTTTGTCTTGAAAAACTCTGTCGTGTAAATGAATTCAATAATCATCACTACTTAATTTAAAATTATTACTCACTTTGTGCTTTTGTCATACAGGCGACACTACCTGCATTGCAAATCTTCATATCGGGTCCATCTTAAAGAAAATAACGTGTTAGGTCGAAAAACTTTCGTAATACGTATCGTATACTTATAATAGTTCACTCACGTGGCATGCCGAAATGAACGCATCCACACAGCGCGTATGTAAAGTTCGTTAAGCATTCCAGTTCACAATTGGGCTGAGTGTATACTTTATAATATCGGAGGTAACGTTCACTAGGAAAGTAACACCGCCGCCTTAAAATAACGGGGTATTGGTTACGTGCTGGCTTGAAATTTATGGAACTGCAACTTTTAATACAAAAAAAAAATGTAAGGTTTGAAAATGGAACTGTCTTGGTACGTTATACTTTTTATTTGCGGAATGTTTACTTATTTTTTTAAAGTGTCGTCCTTTACAAAGCTCTTTGTGGTTGTTACGGTAGGTAAATTTAGGTTTTCTATTCGCCGGAGACTTCAATTGGAATTTGATGATTAATAGAAAGCAGATAATGGCTGGAACGGCGGTGGATGTCCCCATATTGAAAATTGGATCTACTGCTTTAGACAATGAAAAAATATTTCAATAGTGTGGGTATATACTTCGAGTAACAACAAAATAAAATAATGTATTAAAAATATAAGATCTGGCATTATTTATCAAAATCCACAAACGTAAGGTCTGTCTTAATTAATCCCTTTGATGCATATATTGATTGGGCCGATAATTTTTCAATAAAACCGTTTAAACCAGGAAATAGTTTGTTGAATAATACGAAAAGCTATGGAAAGCTTTCGTGATTAGTAAGTCAGCTTGCGTGATTTTTGTTCAACACTTTGTAGGTTAAATAGCTAATAACTGTGTTCAAAGTATACCAAATTACTTTTCGAAAGAAACGTCTAAAAACCAACGATTAGTCTTCATCTACAATAATCCTGAACGCAAATTTCTAATTACAATTCTAGTCTATTGTAGCCGTTATTACTGGTTTTAAAATATAATTCACTGTTTTTGATTAGAGAGCAGAATAGAGAGCAGTGGCGTCTTTTCGTGTCGGAGGCCAAGATCCTCTTTGGGTCGCTGAGCCAGCCAAGTAAGTAAGTTTTTGATTGAGACCACACATGGTTTTAAATCGATATTATTATAAAATACTTGCAATGAAGGGTGAAGGGGTCTCAATCCATCAGAGGTACGCATCAATTTCGGTTTTACAGCCACGATTACTTCCTGGGACAAAGGTAGCCGGAAGTACTGTTGAGACATTCGTGGTAACTCGGCAGGATTATGTAGGGATACCTTAAAATATCACATATTGATTTAAAACATTCAGATGAATACAACACAGTTAATAGAACAGTACCTGGATGACCTGGTTTCTTTTTTCTCACAAAAAAGGAACTTGAAAGAAAAATGAAGAAATCAAAAAGAAAAAAATGAAAAAAAAAAGAAAAAAATCCGTCGGGGAGGAGCCATTTCCAAGATTCAGTATATACATGAATTTCTTGTTTAAAGGTATTAGATAACTGACATGGTCCTTTGTTTATAATAAACTTAAAAAATATAATCTACACCTTAAATCCCTGCACTGGCCCTTTGCAAAGGTTGTCTAAATCAACGTCATTGGTTTTAAGTAGAAATATTAATACGCCTTTCGCCCCATAGCCCTGAAAACATATGAAAACTATTATTACCGGAAAATATTAAGGTAATTTATCTCCGATATTATATTATAATAACGATAGATTAATACAAAAGATCTTAAAATTTTAAAAGAAATGACACGAGTACATCAAAACTATGACGTCTTTAAATGTTTCGTATCGCAATCTCATTCATTATCTATTATGTACCACTAAAATCTTATCCTTTAAACGAGCAATTATTTTATATATTTATATATATATAATCGGAATCTCGGAAACGGCTCCAGCGATTTTCATGAAATTTAGTATGTGCATACATTCGGGGGCGGAAAATCGATCTAGCTAGGTTTCATTTTTAGAAAATGTCCTTTTATCCCTATTTTCAAGGAATGAAAAATATAAATGGAATATGACGCTAAATTTCGCCGCAAGAGAAAATGTCATAATAACTTGGTCGGTAATCGGGCGGCCCCAAAACAGACGGCCGTGGTTCGCGTCACGATCATTTACACATTTATTTTTTTACTTTTTTTCGATTCCCGATCATTGCTTTCTTTATTTTAAATTTTTTGTCGATTTGTTATTTTGTTATTTTTTCCCCTTTTTTTTTAAATTCTTTCTTTTGTGAAAAACATCAGTTCATATTTTCTTAATATTACGTCGGTAAGATCGAAAAATATTATGTATATTTCATTACTCAGTAATTTGTATCTAAATGTAATTTCCAAAATACACGATTTACCAAAAAAAGCCAAACCGAGCTAAGCTCGGTCCTCCGGGTACCGGAGGTGTATAAACTGGTGAACTTCGTACTCAGCAATTTCTCCCTTTACAAGATATTCGTATTATCTTATTTTAACATTAAACTTTGTAGAAAAAGGTACGAAAAGTTATTAACTCTATTTGAAATTGTTTGTATGCGTTAAAGGATAATTATTGTGTTATAATTGTTGTTGTTTGTGTATAAGTTGAGATTTTCTCAACGATTAATTACATTTTCTTAACGATCTAATTATAACAATGGATAAAAGTCGTTGAGAAAATCACAACGTTCCTACCTCGTTTCGGCAATCAGCCGCTTAGCTAAGTGGTTGAAGTGTATGATAGCGATTCCGCAAGACGTGGGTTCGATTCCCACAGCGACGAAAAACTTTTCGTACTTTTTTCCACAAATTTTAATGTTTAATCTTAAGTAAAGCACTATAAAAATATGTTATTTTTATTTTTATCTATACAAGTTGATTTTTTAGACGAAGTACATACTTTGACATAATGTTAATTGAGCATTCAGTAATTAAAAAAAAAAATTATTTTGACAAGAAATAACCAGAAAAATATCAATTCAAAAATTGCTTTTATAGCCGTTAAGAGTAGTCACCCTATTTTATTTTATTTATTTATTCATTAAGTGAACAATACAACATAAAAATTTTATTCGCCAAATTGTGAAAACAATTTATCGGCGACACAATGCACTCTTACATAATTGTCACTTAAATAACAAAATAAAATTAGCATAGGGTACACTGGAGTTAAAAGTACTAACTAAGCAATAAAAGAAAAATAAAATAAAAGAAAAACTGGAACAATCTAAGTAATGTTACTTTTATAATATTCTATATCAAAGGCCTCTAACTTTCTTTTGAAGATATTCTTGCTTATACAATCATTTTCAGAAAAAAGCTCATTAAATATTTTTGGTACTAAATACCTCTTTGTCCTCACTTTGATCAGCGGTTAAGTAATTATGCGTTCAGCGAACAGTTTTAGTGCTCGTGATTAGGTTATTGTATTGAGACCATGAGGCAGATGTTTCTTAAGGTCTCCATAATGTTTTAAAAAATTAAAAATAATCTTTGAAAAAAATGAGGTTACAAGTACGTACCAGTCAGATTTAAAATCAAATACTGCATATGGTCTGTTAATAAGTCCGTCGTCTATAAAATCACCCTGTATAACCAAGTACAAAAATAATTTATTTGGTGAAATGTTTTATTATAATTTTTGGTCGCTCAATTTTTGTTAACACTAAAAACTCATATTATATATTTATTAATTGATGGATCCGCCTTCTACGGAAGACACTTACCGAGCCTCGGTATGGGTAGGTTTGTACCGGAGTAAACGGAGGATAACCCTCTTCTAATGTCCAACCTCGGGAAGAATTGGAAGTTTCTAAATATTTGTATTCGGTATGCAAGCTAGAAAATAAAAAATATGCCAAATTTGTGATTGTTTTCACAACGCTCAAGCATTTTTATGAAGAAAATCATTCTGATAGCAAGTCGTATTTATTAAATCGGCTGATGTGATAAATTAAAATTAGCGTATACACGATAATTCTGTGAATAAATAAAATCTGTTCAATATATAATAATAAAATATTCGGTTTTCTGTATATTCTGCCTTTATGTCTAGCGTTGTTGACTGTAAGAAAGCATTTGATTCTGACGAAATTTTGACGGACTTTTGCACATCGTAATGCTGGACGACCGCTACTAGATGGAGTGACGACCTGTACAAATGCGCGAGAAATCGATGGATGCAGGTGGCTCAAGGTCGTGCTTCGAGACACTGGCCTATGTCGAACGGACGACTCGAACAGGCTCAAATGATGATGGCGATGACACTATAATTCGGTAATGAACGGTTTTTTAAGGAAAATAATGCGTAATTAAATAAGTATTTTGTGGAAGTTGTTCGAAACCAACCCGTGTTTTTTTCTGTTTTTACGACGGGAACACCGGACACGTCACTCACTCGGCATCTGACGAAAAATTGTACGGTAATGGAAAAACAATATTACATTCGTCAATCGCCAGCTTTACAACGTGATTCAAACAGTAAGGACAATTTTGGAGTTGTGATACGGCTGTTTCACGCGTCAGGAAGGTGGATACGCGTGTCGACCGCGCCGCCACGCCGTACCTCATCCCCTAGTTTCCCTACCGCATCCTCGCCCTGAAACCCCCTATCCTAAGGTGCGATACGACGAGATCATCGGATTCGCGGTGAGTGATCGATTAATAATCTAGTATTAAGAAAAATAACATCATGGCCCCGCGCGATCACGCCACGTGTGCGACAGGCCCCTCGTGCAGATTTCCGGGGCCCTAGGATAACACGAGGGGGCTGGATTAGGATCGAACAGAGGTGTTGTAACACTGAGATTGAAGCAGATTGTAACAATGCAAGTGCACACAAATTGTACAATATTCTTAAACATTTAAGGTATCATCAGATGACTTGTCAACGTTGTTTGCCATCCGCCACTTAGCCAGCCACTCGCTGATTCAGTTGGTGCAGCATTTTCATCACTGCATTCGCCACTCTGGCTGAAGACTTGATGAATGTATCGTCGACCGCGTACAGGGCCAACGGCACGCCTCCATCCCAGTCGGAAGCGCTCCAGGGTGGGAATGACGTTCGTGTATAACGTATGCACGTGCACCGACAGATAGGTATACTGAAGAAAGATGATGAATGATATTGCCGATTTGGCTCCATCGACGCGTAGGACAAACTTTAAGGAATGACGGAACTAACCGCTCACGCGGTGGGTTGTGGTGTCATACAACAGTTTATACAGCAAGCCCTGTATAAGCACTTGAATCATTTCGAGTTATAATTGTTCATCGTTCAATATAAAAATTATTTGACAAAATTTGTCATATTTCAAAAAATATGACTAGAGAATATATTTTTGTAATTATTATAATAATTCTCGTTGTAAAATCTACGTCCGGTATTCTTCTTTGTACGCTTGTATACTTTTTTATTTGCTTTTATTTTTTATCTAATTGTGGAAACTTTTAACTGGCTACTAAACTTTAATTATGTGCTATCTGTTAGTTTCCCTAAAATTGTAAAATAAAATAAAATGAATTTGCAAGATGTTACCCAGAAGACGCAGGTTCGAATCCCACAGTGCCAAAAACGTTTGTCCCTGTATCTACTTGTAGAAAAAAAAATACATTTTAAGTTTGAACCTGAGTGAGTGTAATAAATAAAATGAATCATTAAAAATGTAAATACTTCTCAATTCTTAAGATCTCTTCTGCACCCATCGTATTAAAGGTGTAGCAGGAACCAACTTCTGTTAGAATGGGCGAAAAAAGATCCACGCAATTGTACACGGGGACGTCTTTCCATTTGCAACCGAAGAAAATATCAGCAGCGTTCGGAGAAACCTTCGATGAAATTAAATTTTCAGAAAGATATTTTCTTAGACATTTAAATTATAAATATAACACATTTCTCTCAACATTACCCGTTTCAAATTTGCAACAGTTGTATTTCCGTTTGAGAATTTTCGACCACTAAGCGGGGCTAAGTGATCGTCGCAAACCAGGGAAATATCCTCGTACATGTGACGCCTAAACAACAGGTCGCATAATTCATCACATTTTATAAAACATTTCACTGTTTAAATAATTCTTGAGTAGGGAAGACGTTACAATATGATTATACTACAAACTAGGACCGAGAGCAAAGCTTACTATAAAACCCTATATTTGTCCTACTTGGCAAACAACTAATCTGTACATAGGGTCAATAGCACATAGCGCGACGCCACTACGGATAGCATTCACATGTCTTCGAAATATTTTTGTTATTTGACAAAGTTTCTTCACGACGGTTTCTATGACCACGCCAGTAGTTTGAATTGCAATCAACAATTTTATTGGTTACTCGAATATGTGAAATTAAAAGCGTACGCCCGGACACTTAGCTGTCAGGGCTTACGACAAAGAGCATGGTTTTACGAAACGAACTGCACTGCTTAGATGTACAAATTGTTAAAATATATATACGCAAATTAGTACTGTAAATATTGGACAGTGCACAAATTAATCTTCCATAAGTCCGCCATATCTGAGATCTGGATTTTTAATGCGAATTGATTTTTATATCGGATCAAACGACAATTAGGTACTTACTCCTCTTCCGTCAACTTTACATACGTTATGTTATTGGTATAGAGATGAAAATATTTCGTGAAGTTGAATCTTGTTTGCATGGATTTAGTTTCTAAGCACACTGTTACTGCGGGGTATGGTATCTGCAATTATATATTTTGTTTATTTTCATATTATTAATTAATACTGCTTAAATAATAATTTAGTAAATCGTTTTCATACCTCCCACACAGGCGTCGGGTTTTCTGAAAAACTTACGATTAAGGGACTCTCATTCCATTTTGTGTAAGCACTATTTATCGAGCGAGCGCAGAAAACTAAGCAACATATAAACATAAAAAGCCAGAAAAGTCTGAAAATTAAACAACACGTTAATAAAAAATCATAACTTATTTATTATTATACCTAGGCTTGCATATTAACCAAAAAAATGTCGTTTCACAACTTTGCGATCGATTTGAGTACTCGTTGAGTAATATATTCTCCGCTTCTTGAAAAATCCAGATTTCTCCTAAATTTGGAACTGACTGTGGAAACATATTATGTACCATATGATTTTAGCACATTATTTGAAAATCACATATTATTTTTTTGGATGATATAATACATTCATCCAGATATAAAAAATATTTGAACTTTGTTACAGATTTTGATGCACTAAATTGAACCTCATAATTATGAAACAATAAAATTTTACGTTTTAAAATGACTTACTTTTCGACAGTAGTACGTTCTTTGTCACCGATGTAGCGCAGGCCGTGTAAATTAGAATTAACAGTGTAGTCTTTAAGATATTCTTTAATAGTACACCATTTCCCTTTAAGCACATCAGTTTCTTCAACACGGCCTTTTTCTAGATCACTATCTTTTCTAGCACTATCACATCTGTAAATTAGTTAAATTATTTTTTTTTTCTTTCATCCTGCATATTATTCATTAAAAATTAAAGTGACATAACACCTTGAGTGACGCTTCATTGTGGTAAAGAGGAACTGAAATTAATAGTCACGGTCAGGCAACACATGGTCATGTAATAATACCATTAGTGATCCCTTAGGAAATATTTGCTTACAATATTGCGTAAAAATAAACAAAATATCTAACTAAGGGTTGCCACTGGTGACTATATTTGTTATCAGTTAAAAATTTTGCTCTAAAATTTGGAATAACACGTTTTTAAATTTTTATTTAATGAATTATGGCCTTAATGGGTTATGAATTATAACAAGTGTCGCAAGACCCGCAGATAATTCTTCTTTATCTGGGTATGTCTTCTTTTTTTATGTGAGGAAGTGGGAAACGAGCTGTTAAGTGATAACCACCGCCCATGAACAGTTGCAACACCCGTAGAGTTGCAGATGCGTTGCCACCTCTTAATAATGTGGGCTCCGGCTACCTCACTCACCAGACGAAACGCAGAAATGCAACACTTCTGTGAGGTCGTGGTACTGACCCGGACGGACCTGCCCATTCGTGCAACAGCGAACACTGTTGCGTGGTCCTACCACCTTAGGACCACATGTCTTCTCAAAAATACAAAAAGGAATCATTCAACACATAATTAACATATATGCCGACCCAACTTATGTGGGATATGAGCAGAAGGATATCGATAATTTAATGAATTAGATATTTTTACTTTACAATGCTAGTTTTTCAAAGCTGAACGATGTTCACTGTGTAAAATTAAAATTGAATGTAAAATTTCAAAATAAACTAAAATTTTCAATTAAATACAATTCTTAATCTTAATTTAACAATTTCATGCAGTAAAAATTATAACAAACATCCTATTATTTCTATTTCTTTTATGTGAGAAGGTGGCAAGCAAGCTGGTGATTCACCAGGTCTTAAGTGGTAACTGGCGCCCATGCATGATTATTATATTTGCAACATCCGTAGGGATGCAGCGGTGCCACCTTTTATAAAGTGGACCCTGGCTACCTCACTCACCAGACGAAACGCAGAAATATGAAACCTTCACTTGACACCGGTATTTTGTGAGATCGTGGTACTCAGCATCCATCAGTATCCATCAGTTCCGTATCCGAAAGTAATTACTATTATTTTAGAAATGCTCCATTTTTTCATACAAATTAATCTCTTCGTTGGTTCGTATGTTTCTTTCAGTCCCTAATGGAGTTCAATATTAAGTTAATTAATTCCAACAATGTGCTATTAATTAACTTGGTCATTCGTTTGAACGAATTGCCATAACTCAACTGACAACATAAGACCTAATTTTCTAATAACCTTTGGACATAACAAATGTTTATACATAACAAATACGAAAAACAATGAAGTGAATTGTGGCCACGCCAAAAAAGAAACAGGTAAAAAACAAGTATATGAAAAAAAATATCTCAATCAGAGCACAAACGCGTATCAAATATATGGATGTAAATAGGGTATTATTTGCCTACTGGAAACACTGCGGTAATGTGAAGAATCTGCCTTCCTATAGCAATAAAACATACCTGTGTTATCTGTGGTTTCTGTAACTATTACCTCCTTGATTCCAGCAGGGGACGCTGACGCCTATACTGCGGCGGCAACCGACAGCTTGTCTCATAGCGTTGGTCAATTTTGCCCCGAAAAGAGCAAAATATATCATATTTTAATAGTTAGTGTTTAAAATAATTTAAGTCTAGATAATAATCATCTGTTAATAATTACGTCGTTATTTAATAACGTATAGTATATGCGTTTACGAAATATTATTATATTATTTGGACATGGATCCTAAAGATGATAAGGTGTCTGTCGCTGCCCCGGATGGAGAGTGGAGCTCTTTGAGCTCATCGCAGAGTAGTGCTTCCTCATCTTCGGGAGATGAGGAGGCCATTGCTCCACCGCCACCGAATAAGCGGTCAAAATGCAGCAGGTCGAAGCACGTCGTAACGTGTTCGGACCCGCGCGTGGACACGCTCATACATGAAGTAAGTTTTTTAACTGATTATATGTCACAGATTCCGCAGTTACTAAGTGAATTTAATTCTAAGAATATATTATATAATTAAATAATAGTACCATACCATCAACTTCCCAAGATAACTTTGTACAAATACCAGATTCACCATATACAAATAAACATTTATACTTAGATGAAGTTAAATTAAATATTGATGAAAATAGATTAGTATCAATAACTAATCCTGAAAGGCTAGCTGAAATTAATTCTTTGCAACATTTTAATTGTCCCGCACGGCATAATATTCGTTACAAAGTTAAGTTCGTTACAGTTTCAAGGTTGATGATGATTTTGTGATTATTTAAATGATAACACACCCTGGAAATTAAGTGATCGCTCCAGGCTCTTTCAAGTTGACTTTAATACATTTGTAAACATGTCTTTTTTCCTTTTTGATAAATAATTGTAAGAAAAAAAAGTTACACTGAGTTTCTTTCGCCGCTTCTTCTCAGGTCAGTGGCTTTTCTTTTCCGAGCCGGTGGTAGCGTTTTGACAATCAATAAGTAAGTGTAATGCTTCTATATTGAATATAGGTATTTGATTTGAGTTATGTCATCATAAAAAGGGAAAAGACTATCTTCAAGGAACAGAGCAAGTTCTAGTGGCCTTGTCAAACAAAGTTCTAGAAGATAGGAAACTTTTAATGTTGGGCCTACAGGAGTTGGTAGATTGGGCTTCTAGGAATAAGACTGAATTGAATGGTAATAAATTATACGAAAAGATGTTAGTTCTTAACACAAACCCAATAAACCTCATAAATTATACATTCGACACGCATATTGCACCGGGGCCGGGAGGGAAAGGACGTATGACGTATTGTAGCACACGATTCGATTACGTCATCAATCACGAGTGGCCGGCTGTTAATATATCCATCAATGTTGCACTGTTTGCTTCAGAGTCGTTAAAAAAACGTAATGCAACGTCTGGGCAGTGCCCGAATACGCATTTTTCCTTCGTTCTACTTCGTTATAAATATGAGGTGAAAATTAATAGTGTATTTTGATGTACTGCTACGTTTATATGGATTTTTTCTTATGTCAAAAGGTGGCAAGAAAGCCGGCGGGTGCACCTGATTGAAAGTGATAACCGCCGCCCATGGACATTCGCTGCACTCGTAAGATAACAGATGCGCTGCCACCTTTTAATCAAGATAGTTCAACGGCGACACGCAGAATTATAATACTTTTTTTATGTGAAAAGTTGCTAAGCGAGCAGACGGTTCACCTGATGTTAAGTGAATACCGCCGCCCATGGACATCTGCTACACCCGAGGGTTCCAGATGCGTTGAACCCTTTGAACCAACCTTTTGAAAATTGTGCTCCGGCCACCCCACTCACCAGACGAAACGCGAAAGTATTATACTTCCACCTTACGCCGGTCTGCTCTACCCTGTCGTGCCCTGGACGAACCTGCCCATTCGTGCAACAGCTGAAGCCGTTGCGTGACCCTACAGATAACTATTACTGACTACTAATTACGGAGAGCTTAAAGTTCCATAGTCATCGAAAAAATTTTGGTATTATATTACATAATCTGATTGAGAAAAAGTGATATTTTGCGAACGGATAAATGGAATTCTGTTCAAGTTTTGCAACGCAGCTGACAGACAGAAATTAATCTAATATCAAATAAAACGCAGAACTCGGGCCAAAATGATATCGCTTTGTTCATACGAGAAATATATTGCAACAATACTCGAGATCATATTGAACAATCTACGTCTTGCATTGAATAGAATATCACATTTGTGAAATTCCGCCTTATCTTTCAGTCAAGAGAAAAATGTGCATAACGGTTTTACATTTTTGATGCAAACTGCTATAAATATTTTATATATGTCGACGTGTTTCGAAATATCCAGATTATAATGCTACGATCAATTATATATAATCATTATTGATTCTGCTAGTAAATGCTTGTGAATATAAATGATTCTTGTTATGTTTTTATTAAAAAAGATAGGGCCAAGCAACAGTTTTCGTTGAAAAAATGGGCAGGTCCATCCGGGTAAATATCATGTCCTCATTAAAGACCGGCGTGAAGTAGAATTGTTTCATGAGGTGAGTGAGGTAGCTGGAGCGTACTTTAGCAAAAGATGGCAAGGCATCTGCAACCCTAGGAGTGTTTAAAATGTCAATAGGCGTCGATTATCGTTTAACATCAGATGAACACCCAACTTGCTTGCCACATTCTCACATAAAAAAATACTTATAGAAAAGCTGCCACTTTGGGCTCGCGCACGAAGGGTTCCGTACCATTATCTATAAAGTCACGTCTTTGGTATGGGAGCCCCACTTTTCTCTTTTTTAGAATTTGTTGTTGTAGCGGCAACGGAAATACATAATCTGTGAAAATTTCAACTGTCTAACTATGACGGTTCATGAAATACAACCTGATGACAGTTGGACAGACAGACAACGTAGTTTTAGTAATAGGGTCCCGTTTTAGCCTTTGGGTACGGAACCCTAAAATGCATATGTTTCATATAAAGACTAACGATGGCTACACAAATAGTAATAATCTTTTAAGTATTCGTGAATGTTCTTGTAATTCGCGCGATTTTTGCGAATACTTTCATATTTCATAATGTTACATAACATTCATTACTTTTCATCATTGAAAACATAATATACATTATGTAAACATCAATATGAAGATTATACTTCAACTACAAAAATCAAGGACTCACGGTGTTAATTTTGTCATATTACATTGTAAGCTTTATATTATTATAAATTTGAAAGTCTTAAGACTTATGAATTCTATTCAAAGTCAAAGACAAAGTCAAAATTTCTTTATTCAATATAGATAATTTAAGCTCTTATTGGACGTCAAGAAAATTCCACTTGCTCCACAATTCTTGAAATACTACTAATAATAATGATGCGTTTTACGATTTTCATGTACTTTTCACGACCCTGAACATGTGTAAGGGTTTTTATTTATTAGTGGAACAAAGTACATCGTCGTAGAAGTAGCATTTAAAACTGGCATATTTAGACGCGCTTGCTATTTTGTTGACTGCCCAATTACGTATGAGTCGAGCAATATATAACAGCAAATAAAAGTAATGAACAATTTGTAGTCGTTTACCATTTGTGAATAATTCTCGAGCTATGTCGCGTAAATTGTTCGGTTGAGGTTTCTATGAGGAAATTAGACAAAACAATTTACTGTCTATTACTGTATACTGTGTATTACTGTCCCTAACTACACGTAAAGTTTGAGCTTTTGTCCGATTTCTATTGTTGTAACAACCCTGGGAAAACAATAAAGCCACTATAATGACAAACTGTACGCAGTCGCTTTCATAACTTACAGTGAATAGAAATATCATCAAAATACCTGTGACTTCCTTTCAGTTATAAACAATTTCATGCACTCTTTCTTTACAATTATTCCGCACCCTGCGTAGAACAACGTGACATCTGCAAAATTGTAATTGCTCAGGACGGCCGACTCAAATTATATTTTTTTATATTGGCTATAATTTTCGAATACATATTAGTTGCTATTACAATTTTTGGGGTTTGTAATATGATTAGATATATAAACAAACAGTACACTTTTTGAATAAATAATTATATAATTTTAGGAAATAAGAGGTTTCACGTGTAATAGTGACGTTTTCCTACGGAAAATGGCAAAAACTAATGGGTCACGAGATCACATATACACGTTTATATAACGTTGTTCAACGGAACATTCCAAAAAATAATAGGTCACACGTTCATTTATAACGTTGTTCTACTAAAAACTCAGAAAATATGTATGACATAAACGCATGTAGCATTGTTTTCAACGAAATATCCATAAAAAAGTGGGTGACTGTGCAATAATTATCAATTGACTCTAATAGAGTATATTACACTCGTCTATTACATTAGTAAGGTTAGTCTAGTCAATACAAAAAAACAGTGTCTAAACGTACATATGTCTTTGTACTGCGGACAAATCAGATAGAACGTTGTTCTATTCTGAATCTCAATATCTATTAGTCAGAAGAAAAAAATTAAAATGTTTTCTTAAAGCCTAGACAATAATTAAGACCATCCGACGATAAAATCAAATTCGTTCTATGTGACCACAGAATGTTATTCTACGCACGGTGCGATTTTAACACTCACAGACCGTGCCTGCTCTCGGGCCATTTATGCCGTATCAGCCGTCTTATTATAATGGCGTACGCTAAAGTTGAATGTAGCTTGTTATAACATTGTTATAACTCCCCATCGTAACAGTTGAATGTAGCTTGTCAATTTATTTCGACTCTTTGAGCCTATAAGCTAATTTAACTGTCGCTGAAATATCTGCGACTTTGGTAGCTTTAGTCAGAAGTAACAATGTTATTAACGATTAGTGATTTCAAATATATCTTCATTTCGTTTTCTCTTAAAAAATAATCATCATTCGAAAAACTAATACTTTGAATATTTAAAATTACAACTAAATGTGTAGAAAAAACGATTTTTCATCAAAAATGTGAAGTTGTCTGACGCAGGAAGTACCGCGACCTCACAGAAGACCGCCGTGAGTGGAAGTGTTTGTAAACGAGATAGCCGGGGCCCACTTTATTAAAAGTGGCAACGCATCTGCAACCCTACGGGTGTTTCGAATATCCATAGGCAGCGGTCATCAATTAACATCAGGTGAACCGCCAGCTCGCTTGCAACCTTTTCACATAAAACAATGGCAGAGCTCCGATTATAAGCATTAAGTGGAAGATTTTCCGTAAGCTAAAACTTACGACTGTCGAACACATTCAACGTATAAGTGAACATGAAATCTCGTGCAGCGACAGAACAAAAGGCTGAAGCGGATTGTATGGAACCGCTCATTTGTTATTAATCCACCGCATATAACGTTATCGGCTTTCATTCGTAGAACAGCTTGCGTTTGAAAAGCTTTTCCAATACCGTTACGACACAAAAGAGCCGAAGTCTTGTTAGGTTTATTG